GAATATGTGGTTGCATTTAGTCCACAAATAACTTTTTTTTAAATGTCTATGCGTGTTCTATAGGTGGATTTCTACACTCTAGTATCATAGATCATCATCTGGTTGATCACTATATTCCTTTCCTACCTCTGGAGCTGAAGCATGTGCGTCAGTGTGTCATGGCTGAGATGCTTCATCTGAACATGACCCAAGACTATGATCTGGCAGATAGAGTGGCCAGAAACTTGCCCTTCTTCCCTGAAGAGGAGAAAATCTTTGCTGTTAAAGGCTGCAAGTCTGTCAGACAGAAGTTGGTGCTGTACGTTGATTAGCAGCATATTGCCTAGTACTGTTTTGACTGTTCTGTAGTCCTATTAATATTTCAATCTTAATGAGTTACATTGCTATCTGAAGTCTGAATACCTCTGTATTAAACATTTGAAACAATTTGTCCAGTCTGTTTAAATTTGGTACCACATTCTTTAGTCCTACCAGATTTTTGAAGTAGCCTACCCTTGGAGGCATTTTATACATCACTATACCATGGTGGAAGTGTTTTTGCAAGGCGTGGTAGCCTAATACCATATTTGTTATAATACTATGTTTGTTATTGCAATAAACACCATGGAATAGAGATCGCGCACTTATCTCTCTCTCTGTGTGTGTGTGTGTGTTAGACAGAGAGAGAGAGAGAATGTTTATGCCGCTTTGAATCTCTACTAATATTAATGCGCATGTCTCATGGTTTATGAACGCGTCACTCAGATGAATGGATGAACTTCTGTCACCATTAGTAACGGTATATTCATATTCCATTCATGTTGTAATGGTTTCCTCTCGTTTTGATGTCATATTCGTGATAAAAGCACGAGCTAGGTAGGCTAACAGGCTAGCTAAGGATCTTTCAATTTCGTCAGATGTCGATTTACCTGCATGTCCTGCTTTTTATTGCCCTCAGAACGCTATTTAATGGTTATTTTCTCTTATCATTGAATGCGCTTTATGTCGCGTTTTCTGTAATAGTCTAAACGCGACTAGCATGTGTCACTGACATCTGATGGAAACTTCTGTATTTGCATGGCAGCTTTCAGTATGGACAAATTAGGTTTTATTTTATTTGGCATGTGCGAAGGCAGTTCGATAATAACACACAAGACCAAACATGAAATTGAAATACACGAGTCATTATGAATATTTGGTAACACTTTATTTTAGGGTCTCTTAAATAGTTGCTTATTAGCATGCATATAACTAGAATTTTAGCCATTTATGAGTACTAATTAAGCACATATTAATGCCTTATTCTACATGACCTTATTCTACATCCCTAACCCTACCCAATACCTAAACTTAACAATTACTTTACTATTAATGAGCAGCAAATTACGAATTTATTGAGGGAAAAGTCGTAGTTCATAGTGAATAAGTGTTCCCTATTCTAAAGTGTTACCGAATATTTTTTTTATTTATAGATATATTCACTATTATAACAGTATTATTTAGGCTATATAATATTATAGCCTAATAGTTATTAATATATTGAATTAGCTTTTATTTTTATATTTTATTTAAATTTTAGTACTTCAATTAAAAAAAAAAATTCATCTAATATTTATATTTTACATTTTACTTCAAATACCAAAAACATAATACATTTAATTACTTCATTTATGTACACATTTATCTATTTACTCTTCACATTCTGTTGTATTTATTGTTATTTAATTTTTTATGTATTAAAAAAATTCAGGATAATGTTTATATTTATTTATGTTTTTCTATTTATCATCATATTTGGTTATATTTATTATTTTATTAGAAATTATTTTAATTATATATATTTTACATTTATTTATTATTTTCAGAATTAAATGTTTATTTTTCAATATTTCATACTTATGTATTTCCTCCATAATGTATTATAATATAATAGTCTTCGGGCAGAAGAACACATGGTCATGATGAGGATGGTGGGACTTTTGCTCTCTGTGATGATGGTCTATGTCCTCCTGATGAATGCTACGGTGGAAAGCACTGCAGAATTTGATCCATATAAAGTTCTTGGAGTCACCAGAAGCGCAAGCCAAGCAGAAATCAAGAAAGTGTATAAACGCCTGGCCAAAGAATGGTGAGAGTGCTATTTTTTTTCTTGTAGATTGTAATACTTGTACAGTAATTTTATGTCTAAATGAGAATGCTACACCATGGTCATCTTTCATCTCTACTGTCAGGCATCCTGATAAAAACAAAAATCCTGAAGCTGAAGACATGTTCATCAAGATTACAAAGTCATATGAGGTACTGCAGCTCATAAAGACACTAAACAGATCACATGTTGTCAGAAGTAACACTGATGTTAACTTCATGTTACTCCATAGATCTTAACAAATGAGGAGAAGAGAGCCAGCTACGATCGTTATGGACAAACAGATAACACTCACACGAATGGACGCGGCCACCATGGCTTCCGCCACTTTCATGACAACTTCTACTTTGACGAGTCTTTCTTTCACTTTCCCTTCAACAATAAGGGTGGCCGGGACTTTGCTGACAGCAAGTACACATTGCACTTCAACCAGTATATCAATGAAGTTGTGCCTGACAGCTTCAAGAGGCCTTACTTGATCAAGATCACCTCAGACTGGTGCTTCAGCTGCATCCATATTGAGCCAGTCTGGAAAGAAACAGTGCAGGAATTGGAAACTCTAGGCGAGACAATTCATATTTTCTAGAAATGCTTACATGTCACGTGCCTGTTAGTGATATGATCACTTCCAAATAAGAAGTTGTTTTTCTCATCTCTAGGGATTGGAATTGGTGTGGTTGATGTTGGTTATGAGCAGCGTTTAGCAAATCATTTGGGAGCACATCAGACTCCATCCTTTCTTGGTGTCGTCAATGGAAAAGTGGCTTTTTTCCATTATGCTGTTGTAAAAGGCCACCTGATGCAGTTTGTAGAAGATTTGCTGCCACAGAGACTAGTTGAAAAGGTTAGTGAACATCATCATGCACTCCTAATGTCTGTATTTATATCTTCTTCTGGTCTCAAACTTCTCGTTCATGGATGTCTGTAGGTTACAGACAAGAACAACCAAGAGTTTCTGAAGAGCTGGCATGAGCTGAACAAGCCACATGTTCTCCTGTTTGACCAAGTGCCTTCGGTCCCTTTGCTTTATAAGGTAGAGATTGGTTAGTAACCACCAGATTTGTCAATGTTCAACCAATACACCAATGATTGATTGTTTGTTTGTTTCTAATAGCTTACAGCATTTGCCTATAAGGACTATGTGCAGTTTGGATATGTGGATCAAGGTCTTTCTGAGACCACTGACCTGCTGAGAAAATTCAACATAAACACTTATGCGCCAACCATGCTTGTCTTCAAAGAGGACATTGAGAAGCCTGCAGATATTATACAGGTATACCTGTTCCCTTGACTACTGTAGGCCACATTGAGTGGATAAAGTTTGTTTCTGGCAAAAATAGTATAGCTGATGTTTGACCTGTTAAAGTTCAGATTGTTCAAAGTTGTGCAATTTAGATGATTCTTTGATTAATTTTGTATCCAAATATTTGTATTTATGTTATTTAAGTCAAAGTTAATTTTGTGATAACGCGTGTGTTGGATCCTTGTCTTAGAACAGGTGTGTCAACCTCAGTTCCTGGACGGCTGCAGGCCTGCAGAGTTTAGTGCCAACACTGCTCCAACACACATACCATTTAGTTTTTAATAAACCCGAAGTACTCGATTAGCTGGATCAGGTGCATTTAATTAGGGTTGAATCTAAACTCTGCAGGGCTATGTCCCTCCAGAAACTAAGTTTGACACATCTAAAGCTTGAGACACACTGCACGGTTTTAGCAATCCTATAAGATCATTGCATGTCACACTGTGCGACATCGACATGGATCTAATAAACTTGGATACGACATGCGTGTAGACTGTACGATGATGACACCTATTGACTCGTATGATACGACGCACGTTACTATAGAAGAATAAATGTCCTCAGCATGCGCTTGCGGTAAAAAGGGCATGATAAATCACACTGTAGCAGTTTTATGTGTGCTGAAAAACAGTGGAAGCGGCAAAAGAGGAAGGCATAAGAGCTTGAGGTAAGCAGTTTTATGTTTTAGCGCCATATCGCATTGATTTCATGTCGCATTTTTATTGGTTGGTCAGTAAATGTGGATCGTACCAGCAAACACACTGTGCGAAGATCATGCTGTATCGTATTCTATCTTTGGTCGCAAGACCGTGACAACGGCCGTCTTTGAACCTCTCTCACTGTACAACACAGGACCACTGATTGGGAGCCACGATCACAGAAATCGCCACGATTGTTTCACGATACCAATCTTTTGTCTGGGACAGCCGAAAATTGTGCCGTGTGTTTCAGGCTTTAGAAGGCCTTAAAACAACAACCAAGAACAACAACCAATCGGGTGCATTTCTCAAAAGCATCGTTAACTATGGTCGCAAGTTCATGTTTCTCGAAACCATAGTTCTGTTTCATCCCTGCTGACCGCCAGAGGCAGTGTAAACACTATGGATTATCGCAGCGCCAGCTAGATAGGTCGAGAGAATATACCAACAAAGTCACGTAGTGACGTATGCTGAGCCCTGGGGGGTTATAAGCCACCGTAGCTCAGCACTCCACAGTTACATGCCTCTTTCGCTTTCTCGCCTGGTTGAGTGATATATTCGCGCTGTCAAGTGCAGCTTACTAGAGCAGCGAGATATCGTCCTCACAAGCTGTGTCAGCGTGCATCTACGCCACTCCAACAGATTTGGAGTATATTTAGCAGTGAGTTTTTGATTTGGTGAGTTTTTGATATCGCATTGATTTCATGTCGCATTTTTATTGGTTGGTCAGTAAATGTGGATCGTACCAGCAAACACACTGTGCGAAGATCATGCTGTATCGTATTCTATCTTTGGTCGCAAGACCGTGACAACGGCCGTCTTTGAACCTCTCTCACTGTACGACACAGGACCACCGATTAGGAGCCACGATCACAGAAATCGCCACGATTGTTTCACGATACCAATCTTTTGTCTGGGACAGCCGAAAATTGTGCCGTGTGTTTCAGGCTTTAGAAGGCCTTAAAACAACAACCAAGAACAACAACCAATCGGGTGCATTTCTCAAAAGCATCGTTAACTATGGTCGCAAGTTCATGTTTCTCGAAACCATAGTTCTGTTTCATCCCTGCTGACCGCCAGAGGCAGTGTAAACACTATGGATTATCGCAGCGCCAGCTAGATAGGTCGAGAGAATATACCAACGAAGTCACGTAGTGACGTATGCTGAGCCCTGGGGGGTTATAAGCCACCGTAGCTCAGCACTCCACAGTTACATGCCTCTTTCGCTTTCTCGCCTGGTTGAGTGATATATTCGCGCTGTCAAGTGCAGCTTACTAGAGCAGCGAGATATCGTCCTCACAAGCTGTGTCAGCGCGCATCTACGCCACTCCAACGGATTTGAAGTATATTTAGCAGTGAGTTTTTGATTTGGTGAGTTTTTGATTTTCTACTTGAGTCTATATTGCTTCGTCGGTTACACTCTATGCCTCTCGGTGCTATCCCTTTGGTGGTGTCTCCTGACGAGGCACTACGAGGGAATGTGCGATGTCCCAGCACTCAATATGGTCGTACGAATTCCCTACTAAAAAAGGCATACGAGTCTGTTGCCTACATTACTCATGCGGAAAACACAATCTGCCAGTTACTCCTTGCTGTCACCAGTACGTTGGAACCAGCAAATGTTGATCCCTCTATTTCACAGTTTCTGCAAACTGCTCTCTTGGCAATGGGCCATGTGACCCACGAGCTGGGTAGTCTTACAGCCACGCTCCTGGCAGCCCGCCGCCAAGTGTGGCTTGCCCAAGCACGGCTACCTGAGGACTGTAAGAAAACCTTGAGAGATCTTCCATATGTTCCCGGGCATCTTTTTGGTCCTAATGTTCCGGAACTGTTGGAAAAGAGGGTAAAGCTGTCTGAGGCCACTCGTCAGCTGATGCAGGTGCAGCACAACCCTACCTTTAGGATGCCAGCAGTTCAGACCAGTCATCACTATGCCACATCGGAGCAACGTTTACGCCGGCACGCTACAACTCAGTCACAGCCCCCTCAAATATCTCGTGTTACTGAGGATGCGAGAGTTTTTCGGCCACCTCATCTACAGTGCCAGGAGGACCCCGTCAGTGCCCCCCTGCGACCACTAAAAGTCGCACACATAAAGCTTGAGTGTTGCTGCACAACCATCTCCTCAGGATGTTTTCACTGGTTATCCAGCAGCAGAGGGGTCTAGTGGAGGGTCAATTCAGTCATCTGGACAGGCCCAGTCCTCTTCCGATGATACTTTGGCTGTACTTCGAATGGCAATTGCTTGTCTAGGACTTGATGAGTCACCGGTCCAGTCTGCCCAAACGAATGTTTTTTTCAGACAGGCCACAGCTGCGACTTCTTTCGCCATGCCACAGTGTAAAGATTTTGTGGCTGAATTTTCAAATGCCCTCACTGGTTCTGGTCCACCTAAGCGGTGCTCAAAGATTGCTCGGACGCTAGCATCTATGGCTGAAGCAGATTCCATCAGGGTGAGTCATGCTCCGGAGATAGAGCAGCCTGTTGCAGCTTTGGTGGTGTCTCCTGACGAGGCACTACAAAGGGAATGTGCAATGTCCCAGCGCTCAATGTGGTTGTACGGATTCCCTACTAAAAAAGGCATACGAGGCTGTTGCCTACATTACTCGTGCGGAAAACACAATCTGCCAGCTACTTCTAGCTGCCACCAGTACGTTGGAACCAGCAAATGTTGATCCCTCTATTTCACAGTTTCTGCAAACTGCTCTCTTGGCAATGGGCCATGTGACCCACGAGCTGGGTAGTCTTACAGCCACGCTCCTGGCAGCCCGCCGCCAAGTGTGGCTTGCCCAAGCACGGCTACCTGAGGACTGTAAGAAAACCTTGAGAGATCTTCCATTTGTTCCCAGGCATCTTTTTGGTCCTAATGTTCCGGAACTGTTGGAAAAGAGGGTAAAGCTGTCTGAGGCCACTCGTCAGCTGACGCAGGTGCAGCACAACCCTACCTTTAGGATGCCAGCAGTTCAGACCAGTCATCACTATGCCACATCGGAGCAACGTTTCCTCCGGGACGCTACACCTCAGTCACAGCCCCCTCAAAGGTCTCGTGTTACTGAGGATGCGAGAGTTTTTCGGCCACCTCATTGACAGTTGCCAGGGGGACCCCGTCAGCGCCCCCCCGCGACCACTAAAAGTCGCACACATAAAGCTTGAGACATTCAGATTTTCAAGAATTGTTCCTATAATCATCAGAGACGGTGTTCGTGCAATGGCTCTCTCTCTGGAAATTTGTTCACTGTTAGAGAAGGGAGCCATAGAAAAAGTTAATCCCCTCATTCAAGGAGACGGGTTATATTCGACATATTTTCTTGTTCCGAAGAAGGACGGTGGTTTCCGCCCAATTCTCGATTTGAGGCACCTGAATTTGTTCCTGAAGGTCCTTCCTTTTCGAATGCTACGCACAGCCGACGTTCTTCGGTCTGTGACAGCAGACGATTGGTTTCTAAGTGTCGACCTGAAAGATGCAAACTTTCACGTTCCAATTGCTGTTCATCACAGAAAGTTTCTGTGTTTCAGTTTCTTGAATCAAGCGTACCAGTTCAAAGTGCTACCTTTCGGGCTTTCCCTTGCTCCTCGCGTCTTCACAAGGTGTGTGAGCACAGCTCTTTCTCCTCTTTGGATAAGAGGTATGCGTATTCTGCCCTATTTGGACGACTGGCTTCTTTGTGCCCCCACGAAACAGCAGGCTGTGCAAGACTCCAGACTACTTTTGAGACATGTGCGGAAGTTGGGTTTTACTGTGTACGAGAAAAATTGCTGTCTGATTCCAACACAGACCACTACGTTCATAGGAATGACCCTGAATTCCCAGCTAATGTCTGCCTCCCTGTCTCAGGAACGTCTGACAAACATTCTGCAACTTTTGGCTCGCTTTCGCCAGGGTGTGTCTTTGTAGTACGAGGTGGTCCTGCGACTAATAGGGATGTTAACGATGGCCACAGTGGTGATTCCCCTGGGTTTACTCCACCTCAGACCACTACAGTTATGGAACAACAGTTTGCGGCTAGATCCTGTTTATGGTTCGCAAGGACGGAAGTGTCCAGTCCCTTGGGACAGGATGCACTGTCTCACGAATGGCCGAACTGCCTACTATATGTGTTCCCACCTATCTCTCTGTTATGGGAGACGTTACACAGGATCTCCCTGTGCAAGCACAGAGTGCTACTTGTGGCACCACGTTGGCCAGCCAGACCATGGTTTCCTTTGTTGCTGAGACTTCTGACAGGCAATCCGTGGAAACTTCCCCTCAGGAAGGACCTCCTCTCCCAGCTGGAGGCAAGGTTCTGGCATCCGGATCCAACTTGTCTGCAGCTTTGGGTCTGGTCATTGGGTTAAGGCATCCGGATCCAGCTCGTCTGCAGCTTTGGGTCTGTCCATTGGGTTAAATCCTTCTCTGGAACATTGTGACTCTGCGGTTATCCATACCATCTCTAACGCCAGGGCTTCATCCACACGACATATTTATGCTTCCCGTTGGAAGCTTTTTTCTGCATGGTGTGGGGAGCGGGGGCTTGATCCTGCAACATGTGACATACCGAGCATCTTAAACTTTCTTCAACATTTACTGGAGGAGGGCAAGGCAGCTTCCACGTTGAAAGTGTACGTCGCTGCGATTGCTGCATATCATGCTCCAGTTGGTGAATCTTCTCTTGGATCTCACAGTCTTGTCTGCAGTTTTCTGAAGGGTGCATGACGTCTGAACCCTGCTCGAACTCCTCACTTCCCTGTGTGGGATCTGCCACTTGTGCTTACGTTCCTTTGCTCATCCCAATTTAAGCCCTTGCAAAGCACTGACATTAAATGGATGTTCTTGAAGACTGCTTTTTCGTTGGCTTTCGCATCTGCGAAAAGAGTCAGTGAGTTGCATGCGCTGTCTGTTAACGAATTGTGCTTGCGTTGGTTGCCGGATGATTCCAGGGTGGTTCTATGACTCAATCCTTCTTTACTTCCGAAAGTCCTGAACTGAACTGGCCTCTTTTTAGACTTCTTCAGGGTCTGATTCAAGTGCCCAACTTTTGTTGCGTGCTTTGAAGTGCTATGTGAGCTCTACTGCTCAATTTCGACAGTCAGACCAGTTATTTGTCTGCTATGGTGGTGTGAAGAAAGGTGCTCCAGTGTCGAAGCAGAGATTGTCAAACTGGATAGTGGAGACCATTAAACTGGCTTACAAGGCAACAGAGAGGCCACTGCCCTGGAGACTAACCTGCCATTCTGCTAGGGCCATCTCATCTTCATGGACTGTTTAAAGAGGAGTTTCCTTGGCGGATATCTGCACTGCCGCTACCTGGTCTTCTCCATGCACGTTTGCCCGGTTTTATAAAGTCAATGTTGCTGCTCATCATGCCGTTAGTTCTGCATTTCTTCTTAATTTTCATCAGGTGGGTGGCATTCCTCATGACTATGTTGGTATGTGTCATCCATAGTGTTTACACTGCCACTGGCGGTCAGTAGGAATGAAACAGAACGCTAGTTACGCATGTAACTGTGGTTCTGTGAATTCCGGATGACCGCCAGAGTTCTTGGTCACTCGGAATGCGCGAGAAAGGCGTACCGAGGCAGAGTGCTGAGCTACGGTGGCTTATAACCCCCCAGGGCTCAGCATTCGTCACTACGTGACTTTGTTTGTATATTCTCTCGATCTATCTAGCTGGTGCTGCGATAATCCATAGTGTTTACACTGCCTCTGGCGGTCATCCGGAATTCACAGAACCACAGTTACATGCGTAACTAGCGTTCACACGAACATTCGCAAACAGCGTCGCAAACTTACTTGGTTGGAACTACAGCTCTCGACCTGTGGTTAGAAGCATAGTTTCTTGTTAATGAGACATATGTGTTAAAATAAACTATTCTCTTGGGCACAATAAGCAAGCTAACATGCAGTACAACCTATATCTTCCATTCTATCTAAATATAATTGCATTTTAATCTATGTTTGTTGCACATCCTCAATAAGTGCAGACAGAGTGAAGAGTGCGCCTGTGCATAAATGCCTAAGGGAACCCCAGAGGATTATGTGAGAGGGAACCCGCGATTAATCAAACATCAAATAAAGCAAAATGACACAGAACAAAGAAAAAGTAAATTAGTCATCAGGTACCATGTTCAATACAGCAGCATCTTAAGAGATCTCCAATCAGTTAAACAGCAGAAGTTATTACTCCACCACATGCGTGTGACGTCATTAACAATGGCCCTATATTGTTGAACTAATGTTGTTCAAACGATGGAGATGCAGCAGTGTTCGGGAAACAGTCGTGACTAGCTAGTTAGTTTCCACAACAATGCATTGTACTATGGTGGTCAAATCAGTGAGTTACATCGTTGTACTGGAAACGCACCCCAGGTTGGGGCTTCAGCAACATCTTTTTTTGTTTGAGATGTTTGAGAAGATATAAATATGTTTACCTTTTGACTTTCAATTAAACATTTGCTCCATCAGGCTAAAGGGATGAAGAAGCAGATAATAGATGAGTTCATCTCCAACAACAAGTTCCTCCTGGCTCCCCGTCTGGTAAACCAGAAGCTATTTGATGAGCTTTGCCCTGTCAAACAGTTCCATCGTCGCAGGAAGTAAGATGGCTTTGTAAAAATCAGTGGAGTTAATCCAATTCAACATATTAAAGGATCTTTTCCAATAGTCTGCGATGTCTTTTCCACAGATATTGCATTCTACTCATCACTGGTGAGGAAGAGTCCTTCGCCACAGGAAATGAAGCCTTCCTCTCGCTAGCCTCTGCAAACACTAATGATGTGCTGCGATTTGCTTACGTCTACCAGCGACATCAGCAGCCCCTATGCGATGTTCTCTGGAAGAACAAAGACAGCACACCACCACAGGTAAATGTTATCTTCTTCATGCATTTTTGTTTCGAGAAGAAAATACTTGAGCATTATAGGGGTTGACAGATATGTTATTTCGAACGATTGTTCGACATTATTAGTTGCTTTTTGCATCAATTATTGCAGACAGAGAATGGAACAATACATTTATTCAAAACAATCACTTTGATGTAGCAATTGCTTACAGGATTCCTAAAGTTTTACCTGTTTAGGTTCAGATTAAGCTGTGTTATTTGGAGTGATCTTTGTTTAATTATTATTTGGAATTTTTGTTATTTAAAGTGTTACATTTTGGCTCCGTTTGTATTTATATTTAATTAGAATTTATTTCACTTGAGATAATAACAATACATTCAGGGTCATTTTTGTTCATTAAGTAATAACGCTTTAGTAATAAAGCACTATTTTACATTGAATTTTTACATTCAATATACATTCAGTATCCAAGTTTTTATGGATGATACTCGGCAACCACTTTGTTGGAACCACAACTGTTTCTGAGAACCTACATTGTTTGGTGGAAGAATACTGTTTTTATTTATATCATTACACTTTATTTGCTCTGTTTTATTTTGTGAAACCTAACTACGTATATGTAATAACCATTTATAAAAGCAACAAGCCCCGTGAAGCTGTGGTTTACAGTGAATTTATAACAGCTAAGGGGGGTTTTAGGCACTCCGCTTCGCGTCTTTCCTAACAACGCCCCTTAGCTGTTATAAATTCACTGTAAACCACGGCTTCTTGGGGCTTATTGCTTTAGTTTATGTCACGCAATTCTGACTTTATATCTCGCAATTCTGACTTTATATCTCGCAATTCTGAAGTTACCACATTTTAATGTTTTACTCGCAATTCCTTACCAAAAAAAAAAACATTCTAAAGCATGAAAATAAAATATAAAACTAGAATAAAATACTTTGGCTACTTTGAGACCTTTAATAAAAGTTTGTTAGAATCCAAAATTGAAAATATTTGGAAACATGTACCATTTGTAATTATTTTTTAATAATTTGAACATAAACACAAACTTTTTTCCCCCCTCCTAAATAATAGTGAAAATATGGATGGTAGATATCTTAAGTTCATTTAAACTTAAAAAATACTGAAGCTTTATCAATTCAGTATCTAAAGAAAACTTTTTAGGTTTAGTCTTTTTTTTTTCTTTCTGTGCAACACGTGTCAAATTTCTTAGCATCTTCCATACTTGTGGTACAGACTTTAACACAACTGGAGCAACTTTACAGCAATACCCACAGAACATGAACTGTGCTTCAGTCCCAAGGTGTAAATAGTTACATAATATTAAATGTATATGTAAAAATATAATATAGATTTATGTCTCTAAAATATAAGAAAGATTCCAGATGTTCTTACCAGATTGATAGTGTAAGTAAAGGGTGTAACAGCTCTTTATCGACCTGTACAAGTCACATTCAGCTATATAGTGCAGCTATAAAACGAGCAGGTAAAGCCTTAAAGAATGACAGAGAGCCAGAGACCTTTATAGTTTCCAGTTGTGTTTTGATTAAAAATGTGTTGTGGCATGCAAAGCATACTCTCAACAGTACAAAGAGAAGAAATAATACATACTTGATCTGAAGTATTTTGTACTATGCATTTCATGTTTGTTGTAGAAAACCATTTGTCTCCTTTATGTTGTGATGTTTCATTTTGTTAGCAGGATTTAGTAGTTATGCATTTGATTAGCTATTGCATATGCACAGAAAGGTGTGGGTGAGTTAAATCCACTCCTATATGAAGTCTTCCATTAATGACATATTTTGAGTGATGAATAATATTACTTTATTCATATGGTGTTCAATGAACATTCATTATACTTTATAATTGATTATGCGGTATTGGTGCCATTGTACTATAATAGCATTTTATTTGTGTTTTGCAATGCACTGGTAAATATCTTTAAGATAGCATTAAATCATGCCAAATTTTCATGGCTTATTAACTCTATATGACTAAATGTATTTATGTCTGTGGTGTAAAATATGAACTCTGTATCATGTTGTGAAATTATTTTATTTATTAATCAGTTAAAAAAAAAATTTTTTTTTCGTAATTTTGTGATTTTTTTTTTCCCGGGAGTTGTTTCTCCATACGCAATATGAATTTTCTTCACTGTGTTCATGAATTGACAGTATGACACTGTTTTGCTAATCCCAATAAAGGTATTTGTTGCTGAAAATAATATTAATACTGATTTTGTACATAAATCATGTATATGTGCAATTATTTGAGACGTTACACAAACGCAATCAATAATATTTGACTTTTGGAAGGACACACATCATCTCAAAAAGGAGGTTAGCCCCAGTCAAAGCAGTGTTTCCTGTGAAAAATATAATGTAAATAGTAAAAAAAATACATAAATAATATAAATAATTTTTTTTATATATAATACAGTACCTGTGGTGTCATAAGGTGGAGAAACCTCAACTAAATCACAACCTACAAGATTAACACCTCGACAACCTCGAATGATTTCCAGACCCTAAAAAAACACATTTCAAAATACATTATTCTTTACACAGAAGAGTGTCGATTGAGATTCAAATCAGCCATGTCTCTATCTTTAAGTGTGCTTTTAACCAACCCCTAAGGTTAATATTAAACTTTCACGCGCAAAGTCCAAGACCTGCTCTTGGCTGTATCTTTGATCTGTAATGTATAGTACAGTATGCCAGATTAATAGTGTGTCCATTTTCCAAATCACCTGTTCTATATATCGGTTGCATAGTGTGCGGCAAATTTTGTTTATATGAATACTTGTGGAAGTATTATTAACATAAAGTGATTTAAAAGACCTTCATTGGTTGGTTTAAGGGTGATGGGTGTTTATTCTCAACTGCAGGAGCAGGTTTAAGCATCTCTGAGCGACAGGTAAAGCATACCTGAATGGGTGTGAGGCCAGCAATCTCAGGTGTTCCTGTGCCTGGAGCGAATGCAGGGTCCAGACTGTCTATGTCAAAGCTGAGATAGACTGGTCCGGTTCCCATCTGTGAGCGAACCTCCTCCATGAGCGGGACAAGAGATTTGTGCCAGCACTCCACAGCTTCCACTACACGGAAACCCTGGAAAGACCAAAATGTACTATGTTTTTATTTACAAGCACGATGGAAGACGTAAAAGAAGCACCGGACTCAAATATAGCGTCATTATAGAGTGGTGGAACTATGACTTCACTTTGCAGGCCAATGAATATTATACGACATATTACATTCTAATATATGAATTATCTATTCAGAGCATGATTATTGGTAAAAGCATCGTGATACCTGTGCTCGGCTCCACTCATAATTATCTGGAGAATAGCCCGAGCCTCTGAGCCCGATCTGGACGACCCTCTTGCAGTCCAGGAGCCCCTCATCCACACAGCGTCTGAAAGGGGTCCCGTGACCAATTTTCTCACCCAGAATCATGTCACTAGTGTCTGCATGGGCATCCACATGTATTAGGCCCACTGGACCATGCCTGAACAGCAGAAAGAGCAGTATTTCAGACTAAATGTGAGTTGGTATTGCAAATTAGGAGGGGGACCTCTTGTGTTTTCACCAACCTCTCAGCAACGGCTTGTAGAATTGGGTATGCGATTGTATGATCACCTCCTGGGAATCCAAGACAAGTGGAAAAGTAACATATTAAAAGTGGACTCAAACCTGATCCATGTATATTGAAAATGTTTTCTCACCCAGTGTAAGTGGGATGCAGCCAGTGGCCACAATTTCACGATAAGCCTCTCGTATTTTTTTGCAGGTGTCCTTCAGGTCAAAGAGATTAACATTAATGTCACCGATATCCGCCACCCTTAGTGATTCGTATGGGGCCGCTCTTGTCCAGCCATTGTACAACCTGATCAGATAATATTGATAATCGTGATAACTTTGGTCACTATAATCGTGATATGAAATTTTCATACCGTTACATCCCTACCCCTTACCATAGCCGCCTGCGTGCTTCAGTGTAAATATTGCTCAAAATCAAATCAATTTGAGTTCGTCTGCCTTGGGAAAGCTAGCGTGTCTCCGTCATAGTGATAACACTCGTTGCCTTCTCTAGTGCAGCTCAACCAGGTCTCGTCCCATTCGTCGATATTTGTGATATCACA